TCTAATACACTATGTCATTAGCAAGAACTTTATTTTTATTTGTGGTATTTTGTGGTAATGTATATCATTATAGCAATGTCTAATACACTATGTCATTAGCAAGAACTTTATTTTTATTTGTGGTAATTTGTGGTAATGTATATCATTATAGCAATGTCTAATACAATACATCACTAGCAAGAACTTTATTTTTATTTGTGGTAATGTATATCATTATAGCAATGTCTAATACACTATATCACTAGCAAGAAGAACTTTATTTTTATTTATGGTATTTTCTTCCAAGCCCATCTTTCTTTACCTAACAAGCCTCGAGGAAATGGAAGCTATCACTCTCGAAAGAATGTTGTTAGCTGCGTTACAGTCCCAGACTCGGACTCGGATGGCCACTACAGCCCAGTTCGAAATTTACCAAATTTCACATCAAACGTTGTTGTGAAAGTAATCAAACCAGAGCCACACAGAGATAGAGACAAGTAAGTAAGCAGCTTCAAGTTGTTTTATATGAATATCAGATAAACTGCAAAATCAACTGTGTACGTTATTGTTTCTACTCTAAAAGTATATTTAATAAAACTTGTAGGAATAGATTTCTTATTTTGTGTCCTTGTAAAATACGACTTGGATCTATTCAAAAATTGAAAGTAAAGATTTACAAAATGTGTATAATTCTGGTTTAAAATGTGTATAATTGTGGGTGACAAATAATTTTCACTTGTTGGATTTATATTTTTCAATTGTCTTTGATTTAAAAAAATAATCATTAGTATTGTAGTAAGGAAAGTTTTTGATTTTTTTTAGCTTAGCAATATTTATTGTATATATTTTAGTTGTTTTTTTTTCTTGTACCAACTTACTCAAATTCACGAGACTTATACATTTTTTTTGGTAACTAAAATGTTAGCTACATTAATAATCATATGTTGAAAAATGTTTCTGTCATTACTTCCAATAATACAAGGTGTGTTGTAAAAGGAATAAAAACTACAGATTTACTTCCAATTAAATTAACAACTGCACAAAGCTATGACTTCTTATGCAAAACACTAATATCCATAAGTTACTCGATGGATGTTTATGTTTACTGTAACTGCAAAAAAAAAGTTATATGGACTAGCGTGTTCTTAAAGCACATTTTTTACACAAAACATAGATCCATATATACTTCCTGTTTATATAAAAATGCAAAACAACTCATAAAACGTCTTTCGTGTTTCAACAATTGTGATGAAAAATGTTTCTAGTATCGCAATAACTCAGCGTATTAAATGTGTGTGATCGTCATGCAGAAAAATTGGTATAGCTAACAGCAGTATTGACGTTTTGAATTTTCATTTCTTACAAAATAGCATGAGTGCTGACTATCATTTTGTTTACATATTGTACATTCAGTGCATGTTATTCATACATGCAAACATACATACACACAAACAAGAAACAAATAAAATGCATTAAAACTAACCTTATAAATGCAAACACAAGGCTAATTAAAGCACGTGGTATGAGTTCACTTCACCATATAGGCTGTGCATGCTGTGTAGTATGAGCTGTAGCTCCTAGTTAATGATGTATGCATGATGGTAATTGGCTGTTCTTTGTCTAGTGTGTCAGACCTGATGACAGCTATACTTATTTTACTTTATCACAAGAATAAAGGTTTTCAAAATACTGTTGTTTAATATAGTAAAATAAACTGTTGGAAATTGAGTAATTGTTTACCTTGTTTTTTGTGATCGGATATAAGGGTAACATCCTTCATATAAAATTAGGCTAAAAATAGTGTTCATTGAAGAAAAATAACTTTCTGTTTCACTGCAGCTGAGACGTGTATTTCCCAGTGAATGGGTTAAACTCTGAAAACATTAATAGTTACAAGAGATAATGGTTGACATAGTCAAAGGAAAAGTAGATGTACAAAATAAATAACTACAAAATGTAGTATTCTTTAGATTGAATAAGATAATAATTGACGGCCTCTGATGAAATTTTATTTTGTAGCATCAAGTTTTATATATATAATAGTGAAGACTATTTATTTCGTGCATTTTTAAGACATTGGTTATTCAGCTAACCTTTAAACATTGCTTCTTTGAACCTTTTCACATTCAGAATGAGTAATCATTATTGTTGTTGAGTTAGTTGTGACCTGCAAAACATTTATGGTCAAATTAGTATCTTTGTTGCAACAGTACTTCTTTAAATTCAAGATTTCTAGAGTAATACAAAAGAATTCTAATTGTAGATATCAAAATCTATAAGTCCACTTGTCTTAGATCTAACCTTTATTAAGCCTTTATTAATTAGGGCCTATATTTGATAAAAAAATAAACTAACTCTATAACTTGTATACATTTTTTACTTTAGTTAGAGGTAAACTTTACCGTATTTAATACTATCAATACATAAACTTATGTTATTGTACGACCTAACGTTAGGCCTTTTTAAATAATGTTCATAAGCTTTCAATATGTTGTTGTTCCAAATGTTTGCTAAAGTATATTTACATCCGTTGAAATATAGTGTGCGCACATGTGCATTTAGATAGTAAGGTGCGTGCACATTTTCAGAATGGACAAAAACTGGGTATTATTATAATAGATTTTGGGATTTGATGTTGATTTTGTAAAAACATAGCTGTATTAATAATGTAAACTTTATAATTTTATAATATGTTGTTGTTCCAAATGTTTGCTAAAGTATATTTACATCCGTTGAAATATAGTGTGCGCACATGTGCATTTAGATAGTAAGGTGCGTGCACATTTTCAGAATGGACAAAAACTGGGTATTATTAATAATGTAAACTTTATAATTTTTTACGTAAATACATTATTTTAGAAATCAGTTGTGTTTAAGTGTTTGACCTTTATATATACATCAAAAACATAACACTTCAGATCTAATGAAACCTTGCTGCTGGAAGTTCTGATCTAATTTTTATATTCCACACACACACATGTTGAACATTAAAGGAAGATCTTTGTGTTCTAGGACTTACAAGTTTATATTTTGTTCTTCTGTCAGCCTCCCACTAACAACTACTCAAAAGAAGCGACTTCTGGCTAAGGCTCAGGCACACTCCCACAGCCAGTTAGTTTCTCAATCAGATATCTTACCAACGTTTCCCACAAAACGAGAAGTCAGCAGTGTGGGGGAAGAAGAGCAGATACCTATTGCTATGATTCATCAGAAACAAAATGTTGGAAACCATGGACAGGGGTCAGGAGTAGGAAGAATGGACTATTGTGGTCAGTATGGAATAGGTAGAAGTGAAAGGGAGCTTCCACACTACACTCGTCATCAGGTACAGAACTTGGAAGGAGAGCGCCTGCTTAAATGTTCAGGATCACCTGTTCTCATGAGAGATGGGGTAAGCAATATTCTTCTGAAGTGTTTCAGATGTAGCTAAGTGTTAATGGGTCATCAAGGGTTCTGAATTGAGCTAAGTGTTAATGTGTCACCAAGGTTTTCAAATAGAGCTAACTGTTAATGTGTCACCAAGGGTTTCAAAGATAGCTAATTGTTAATGTGTCACCAAGGGTTTCAAAGAGAGCTAAGTGTTAATGTGTCACCAAGGGTTTCAAAGAGAGCTAGGTGTTAATGTGTCACCAAGGGTTTCAAAGATATCTAAGTGTTAATGTGTCACCAAGGGTTTCAAAGAGAGCTAAGTGACAATGTGTCACCAAGGGACATTGTTAATAGGATATTGTTTCTAGTAGTTTTGCTCCTGTGTTAGCCCAACAGAAAGTTTAATGGTTTATAACACTAAAGATGGAGATTCGATCTTTGTGGTGGCACAGTGAAGAAGCCTATTATGCAGGTTTGCACTTAAACAAAGTCAACCTTAATAGTTTAATTAGTAAGAAATCCAAAAACCATTAAAGCCAAATAAAATACATAAATATCATAAATTTTATTATTAAACAATATTTTTAATAATAATTAAATTTGAACTTTGTTTTAAATACTGTTTGGCACCAGATAATTTCTAGATTGCTGAATTATTTGGCTTAAGTGTCATTTGGCACCAGAAAATCACTGAACTGATGGGTTATTTTTTTTAAACCTTTAGGCAAACCTGTAGCCATATATCAACTACATAATGCAGTTTGAATTTCCCACTAGAAATGCAAATTAAAGCATTAAATCAAGAGATAATATGCTTTGATTCACATTGCACAGATGACAATATCAGTTGCTGATTTGTATCCAACATGATGGATCTTACTGCTCAAAATATTAGTAATGTTTGCAGTTGAAAACTATTTAACCCTTTTGAGATGGGTCACTGGTGAAAGGCCATGCCTCGTTTATTGACTCGCAATTAAAATTTTATTTAACTACTATTTCACGAATTTATGTCTGGTATTAAATTGTAGATTATAATTCAGATTTTAGTACTATACATTATTCAGTTTATTAATTTAAAAGTAAATGTTAACAAACAGACAGACATCGGTTTTTGTGTGTCACATGGTATGTTGAATGCAGCACTGGTTCAAATTAGGTGTTTGTGAAGTCAAAATACTAAGTCTGTAGTTTGGTATGAATTAGAAACTCAAATTACC